CGAGTGGTGGTGATTGTGGTGGGTGGAAGAGACCAAAGGGGGTGGGGGGAGGGGGAGGGGGATGTGATATGTGGTGGAGAGGAGAGGCGAGGAGAGGAGGGTTGAGAAGGAGATTTTGGCTCTGGTGTCTGGTGTGGAGAGAGAGAGAGAAAGAGGGAGGGAGAGCAAGAGGGAGGGAGGGACGGAGAAGAGACAGGTTGAAAATGCAAATGAAAAAGAAAAGAGACCCAGAAAAGGCCCTTCTTATCTGGGAGATCTGGGAGACGGCACCGATCCGGTAGTCTGTCTGTCTGTCTGTCTGTCTTCTTGACACTATTGATTCCTATCTGGCAGAGAAAGGCCGGAAGGAATGTGATATTTGATGGTTTGTTGACTTTTTCCACTTTTTCCCGCCCTCGGTAATACTTCGGGGGGCTCTGCTCGGCCACGTTCTGGTTCTCTCGGGTCTTCCATACAGTCCGTCAGTCAGTCAGTCAGTCAGTCTTCCATACAGTCAGTCATGTGCTCGGTGCGTCCCCTCTCACACCCTCTCACACCCTCTCACAACCCTCTCACACCCTTCCCTTCCCCCCCCCCTGCCCTGCCCTGCCCGGCCCTCTCCCCTCTCCACTCACTCTCCTTGCCCACCTTCCCCACCACCCAAACTCGGGCCCTGTTAGTCTGGTCGCCTTGTATTTGTTTAGCGCGTGATGGCTTCCATTTGAACTCCGTGGAGAAACACTGATCGTTCCTTGACCCAGACCCGTGGCAGCTGAGATTCTGCCACACCTTCTTGAATCCTGGCATCCTGGCATCCTGGCATCCTGGCATCCTGGAATACTACTGTACTGTGCTGTACTGTACTGGAATACCGGCACTACTGGGTTATCACTCGAAATACCAGTCAATCGGAATATTTACGCTTCACCCACTCACTCACTCACTCACTCACTCACACACACACTCACTTCCTCACTCCTCCACACTCATTTACTCGCTCACTTACTCGCTCAGAACTATACCTACTGGACCACCTTCACGCCCGATCGCTCCGACCCTGCACGCGTAGGACACCACATTTCGTCGCCCACCCCGCCGCCGCCGCCGCCGCGGTCCATTTTTCCTGCTGTGCCTAGAGCCGACTGAATAAATTGTTGTCCAGCCCGCCGAAAAGGAGAGGACGGGAGCAGGAGAGGGGGACGGAGACAGAGACAGAGACAAAGACGGAATACGGAGACCACCAACCCAATATCTGTGTCGGCGAGCGGAATACCACGAGAGGCCACCCGGCCCGCCGCTGCGTAACAAAAGTCTCGGATTCGGCCGGAAGGGAAACGTTCTCGAACACCCCCTTCGCTCAACTCGGTCCCGTCAGCGAGCGCGAAATTCGGTTCCTTATCTTCCATTCACCTTTCCCGGGGGAAGGCCATTCGAGAATTCGCATCTGCCCCACGATCCGAGCACAACGACCGACCATAAGTGAACCGGCGAACGCCCTCCAGATCTCGCATCCTGCTAGCATGTCCGCCGGCAGCAACTCGACCAACAACACAGTACCAAAGTAACTTAGCCGTCACCCTTCAACGCGCCAATGGGGAACAGTCAGTCTGCCGTGTGCTTCTCAGATGAAGGTGTGTGCCCTCTCTGCAGCTCTGCGCTCGACGATAGAGCACCATCGCCCAGAACGCGTCAGGAGGTTATGCTGACATACTTCCTCCTCCTCCTCCTCCTGCAGTGAATCTAAAGCACTTCCGCCTGCTACGAGTCGTAGGGAAGGGAGCCTTCGGAAAAGTCCGCATCGTGGAGAGAAAGGATACTGGCTTGACGTTCGCTCTCAAGTACGCGCATTCCAAAAATGTCCGGTAGAAGGGATGCTGACAGTTGCTCCGCAGATACATCAGAAAAGATGAGGGTACGCAAGAAAGAGTCCGCTTCTGCTGTCGCTTCTACTGACCGTTCCCACGTAGTCGTCCGATCCGAGAGTGTGCGGAACATCATCAGAGAGAGGCGGATGCTGGAGCATCTGAACTACCAATTCATTTGTAATCTGCGGTATTCTTTCCAGGATATTGAGTACATGTCAGTATCGTGTCCTCCTGGGAGGGAGCTACTGCTAACGGGGACCGCAGGTACCTGGTGGTGGATTTGATGAACGGGGGGGACCTGCGCTTCCATATTTCGAGGAAGACATTTACTGAAGAGGCGGTGCGATTTTGGATTTCCGAAATGGGATGTGCCTTGAAATATATCCACAAGCAGGGAATCATACACAGAGATATCAAGCCCGACAATGTTCTTCTGGATTCCGAAGGTCACATCCATCTGGCAGATTTTGTACGTGGGGATCATTGCTGTGGAACCACGGACGGGGGGCACTTGCTAATAATACTCGACAGAATGTCGCGTCCGACTTCACACCGGGAAAGCCTCTGACGAGCAAGTCGGGAACATTGGCCTATCTCGCACCGGAAGTCTACAAGGGAACCGGGTACTCGTGCGGAGCGGATTGGTGGTCACTCGGTGTTTTGTTCTACGAGTGCATCTACAACAAGGTACCCAAGGTTCCCCAGGCCCTGAAGCGAATCGGAACTAAGTCATTGCTATCCAGAGACCCTTTGAAGGCAGCACGCAAAGCACCTTGGCTGTACAAATTACCAAAGCAAAACCCAAATTCCCCGTCACAGATCCTCCCGTATCGATGCCATGCCTGCATGCCATAAGTTCGTTTTTGGAGGAGGATCCGACGCAACGTATCGGATCGGCAAGTTTTCACAGCTTCACTGACAACCCATTCTTCCGAGCTATAGATTTCGAAGCATTGGAGAGGAAGGAGGTCATGCCTGTATTTGTCCCTTCGTCCGAGAAGACGAATTTCGATGCGACGTACGACCTCGAGGAACTCTTGCTGGAGGAAGCACCACTGGAGGCTCGGGCTCGTCGGCAGAAGCCGAGAGAGGCGCTGAAGGATGACGCAACCGAAAAGGAGATTCGGGAAGAGGAACTGTACCGGATGATTGAGGTGCAATTCACGCCGTTTGACTACACAACTGCAGCGTACGAGAGAGCCCACCTTGTTTTGAGATCCGTCTGTTCTTGTCGGCCATACACTCACTAACAATGACCAGGATGGCACGATTTGCTGACGCTTCAGATCCTAACGCACCACCTGGTGCTCCAGGCGAGTGGCAACAGCCACCCCCGGTGTCACAAGACCCCGGCCTCGTCCCAACGAGGTCCTCCAGCAAGCGAGCGTCGTCAAGAAGACGGACGAAATCGAAATCCCAGGCGTCGTCCCTGTCCAGCTCCCCACCATCGATGCCCTCACACCTACCGCCACCTCCGCCTCCTAATGGGCCTCCAAATATGGGACAGCCAGGACGACAGGTCCCTCTTTCGCCCTACCAATCATCCTACTCCCGCTCACACCGACCCACTGGGACACGGAAGGAGTCCATCGGAGGTGGAATGCAAGTAGTGCTAGGGGAGACGGGTAGTTGGTCGGAACTGGCCAAGAACGATACAACCTTGCCTGCGGATGCTAAGCTGGAGGCAGCCCCCAAGCCGACTGGGATGCTCTCGTTTCTTGGTCGGAAGAAGGGTAGAGGACATAGCCCTAAGCCGCTAGAGCGTGGTGTCCTGGGTAAGGAAGGTGCTAGAGTGGTAATTAGTAGTGGTGAATGATGGACCGGGGAGAGGATCTGGAGGTGATCTTACGAGGGAACGACACGTGCATATTAGAGTCTACTTTGGTACTCATAACCCACAGTCCACAGTAATGGGGCTTCTGGGTACAGCGGTGGGACGAGACGAATTTGAGATTTTACAAGTCAGGCAGAGGGCAGGGGGTTGGATTGATCTTTATGGCATTGCGAGGTGGTCAGCGGGAGTTTGTCTTAATGCTCGGGGATCTCCTACCGTCTTGGTCTGGTGGGTCGGTGACAGCTAGTGATGGGGGGGGGTTGTGGCATATTCCAGATCGCACCGTACCACCTTGCGTGGCAGCCAGATGGGGATGGCTTTGTATATGATACCAGAACAGTTTTCTTTCGGAATCGCGGCTCCGGT